TTAGAAGGAATAGAGACCGAGCCGGGCACGTTTATGATCCGGCCTCGGGACTCTGTAAACCAGCGGGCATCAACCAATGTATATAAAGGGACGACCCAACAGCGGTTTAGGGACAACAGACAACAACTCGAGAGCCAGGCAAAGCGGATTCGCTCCCTGGTCATCGAAACACTAGCAATACCAATCACAACTAGACGTAGGCTTTTACCTTCATCGAAGGGGCTGAACTAGTATAAAATCCCTCGTGTCCCTTGTCCGGTTTAACCCCTTTAAGCTAACCCGTAGTGATGGCTCCACGACTAAGTCCTTTCACGAGGACATCTGCCGTGACAAACCCATGACAGAAACCCCTGCGCCTTCGAGCTGACTTCTGGGGGGACGACGCCCGCGTTTCTCAGGCCGAAAACGACCTTTTGTCCTTGTCCTTTTCCATGGAGGAAATTGACAGGGATGTCGGCTCGATGAAGATCGATACTGCCCTAGGCCCGGATGGTTGGCCGGTGGCTTTCTTTCGTCGCTTTTGGCCCATACTCAAAGCTCTCTTCTGCGATATTATAAATGGTTTCGTGTTACGCACGGTAGACATCTCGCGCCCCAACTTTGGGGTCATAAGCTTAATCCCAAAAGTCAAAGAGGCTGACACTATCAAGCAATATTGTCGTATGACCCTCATTAATGTGCCTTTCAAAATCTGCACAAAGGCCTATACGACGAGGCTTGCCCCTATTGCATATAGAGTTATAAACCGTAGTCAGACAGCATTTCTCAAAGGCCACAACATCCTCAAAGGGCCGGTCGTGCTTCAGGAGATAGTTCACGAGTTAAAACGAACCCGACAGTCGGTTGTGCTCCTCAAGCTGGACTTCGAAAAAGCCTTTGACCGAGTGAATTGGGAGTTCATTCGTGAAGTCCTGGACCGAAAGGGGTTCGAGTCAGGTTTCGTTCACGGTATTATGCATCTGGTCTCAGGGGGGCAGACGGCGGTGTCAATCAACGGAGAAGTTGGAAACTTCTTCCGCAACAAGCAAGGGTTTAGGCAAGGTGACCCCTCCTCCCCTCTGATCTTTAACCTTGTTGCCGACGCCCTCTCGGCCATGATCAATAAGGCTAAGGGTGCTGGCCATATCCGTGGTGTTGTCCCACACCTCATTCCTGGAGGGGTCACGCACCTACAATATGCAGACGACACCAGGTTGCTCTTCGAGCCGGACAACCATAGTATAGCCTCGATCAATCTCATTCTTCTTTCTTTTGAGATCGTCTCTAGCCTCAAGATCAACTTTCTCAAGAGCGAGGTGATAGCCACTGGGATGACCGAACCTCTCGCGACTCGAGTAGCCAACCTTCTTAACTGTAAGCTGGGGAGCTTTCCGTTTAAGTACTTGGGCCTCCCCATCTCAGACAAACACATATCTATGCACGAGTGGGAACCCTTATACAGCAAGGTGGCGAACTGGGTCAATCCTTGGCGTGGTCGGTTTATGTCTTCGGCCGCTAGGCTCATTCTGACGAACACTAGCCTCTCCTCCTTGCCCATGTTTACCATGGGCATGTCTCTCCTGGTAGATGGTGTTCATGCCAAGCTTGACACTCCTCGGTCTAAGTTCTTTTGGGAAGGAACTGGGTCCAAAAAGAAGTACCACTCAATTAAGTGGGCAGCATTATGTCGTCCAAAGAAATTTGGCGGCCTAGGGATCCTCAACTCCAAACTTATGAACATTGCCCTCCTTTCCAAGTGGCTCTGGAAACTCGCCCAAAACAAGCAGGGACTCTGGGCGGATATCCTTAGAGCGAAATATTTCCCCGACGGGAATTTCCTTACCTCTAAGGCCAAAGGGTCGACATTTTGGAATGGGATCCAAGCTGTCAAACCGGCCTTTATGTTAGGAGCTAAGCTTAGCGTTAACGATGGCAACTCCGCGTGATTTTGGTTAGATCACCGGTTTGGTTCGGAGCCGTTGTGGCGCAACCACTCCTCCATTTACCAACTTGCTACTAACATTAATATCCTCGTTGCCGATGCGCTTAGAACCAGCCCGCTAGCCATTTCTTTCAAAAGGCCTCTTCTAGATACCGAAGGGGCTAGTTAGGAAGGGTTATGTACTTCACTCGCTGGCGTGGTGTTGCGACCTGAGGCCGATACAGTCTCTTGGTCTCTCACGAGCTCCGGGAAGTTCTCGGTCAATTCCCCTCAAAATAAAAAAATTCATATGGCAAATGTTCCGTGACCGTCTCCCGTCCCCTAACAACATAGTGAAACGAAATGGGCCGTCCGATGGCACTTGTGTGATGTGTGGTGCGCACGAAGATGCAAACCACATTTTCTTCAACTGTCACTTAGCCCGATTCGCTTGGAGTGCGGTCCGGGAAGCCTTCGATCAGAACTGGAACCCCCCCTCGGGTAGTGATCTCCACGATATCCTCTTGGCCCATAGGGGTGGCTTTGGCCGAGTTTTATGGAGTTGCGTAGGGGCGCTTTTATGGGCTCTATGGACTACCAGAAACAAAATCACTATAGAGCACAAATTCCCTCCTCACCCCGCTGACATTATTTTCAAATGCCATTTGTTCCTTCATACTTGGATGCCGTTGGGAAAAAGGCGGGACGCTGAGCGGATGCAGGAGGCTATGGAGCGGATCCGACTGATCCAGATTGCTGCCCGTCATTAAGATGTTGTGGATCTGATTTTGTCATGGGCGGTGTTGGCAATGTTTAGAATGTTTCTTCTTCTTTCTCAGGCCTAGGCTGGTTGCATGTATCAAACTTAGGCTTTGGCCATGACTATCTTTTGCTTTCGTCTGTCTCGTATGTTGGATGCTGTCTGTTGGTGGGCTTTATTAATTTAAAGCCGGACGTTCCTTGTATCTTTGTTCAAATAAAAAAATAGTGATCCCCCAGTTACCCGATTGTAACCAAGCAATTGTCAAACAGGCCGAATTTTCCTATCCTACACTGTTATGCTTCTTTTCTTTGTGAATGAAATGGATTGTCTCGCTCGCTTTCAGGACAAAAATTCAGAATATGGAAATAAAAATGCACCTGGGCCTCTTTCCCCTCCGTCTGGACCTCTTCGCTCCCACCGGGGTGATGGGCCAATCGCTGCATGAGTCGACCCATAAGTATATTGCCGAGTTCTTGAGGTAACACGCACATACCCGTCTGTGGGCAAACCCATCTCTGGCTAAGGCCGGTTCTATCGAACAATGCTCGACCAATCTAAAACAGTCTGGATGGGGCCACTCCCGGACATCAATTGAAAACAAAAATATTTGCGTATAGCCACACTAGGAAAATATGTAATGTATTTAAAAAATATTCGCCATGTAAAAAACAGTTCATCATGTATTTAAAAAAACGTAGACACGTTAAAAAAAATATTATTTGAAAAACATCCGCTGCGTATTTGAAAAACAAATATTCAATGTGTATATTTTAAGAAATGTTCAAGACGTATTTGATGAAAATGTTCAATGTATTTAAAAACATAGCATATTTTGAGAAATATTCAATGCATCTAATAAAACGTTTAACATGTATTTTTAAAATGTTTGACATGTGTTTAATAAGTTTTTCAATGCATTTAAGAGTTGGTCACCGTGCATTCATATTTGACAAATATTTGTCGGGTACTTACAAAAATTGCCCAATACATATTTAGAAACTGTTCACCGTGTATTTTGAAAAATATTCATTGCACATTTAAAAAATGTACAATGCTTTCAAATAAAATGTTCAACACGCTTACAATGAAATATTCTACGCATACGAAGAACTTTTTCTAAAACAAATTTCACGAATTTGAAAAAGGATTCACAAATTTTACGGAATCTTAAGGACTTTTCAAAAGACATACATGAGTTTGTGAAATATTCATGAATTTTAGAAGTGTTCACAAATTTTAAAATATTAAAAATTATTTAAAAGGTTACCAATTTGTACAAAAAAATGTTTCTTAAAAATTAAAAAAATGATTGTGTATTAATATATTCACGATCTTAAAGAAAATCACAAATCTGAAAACGTTGAATATATGATTAAATTGGAAAATGTGCATATATTTTACAACTACCCGTGGATTTGAAAAACATTCACAATTTTTGAAATTCCATGTTACCTTTTCTGAAAATAATTGACCACATATCAAAAAAAAAAAACTCGCAGTTCACTTCTCCTCAAGATCAACTCGCGGAGATATAGCCAGACTAGCTATGCCGTTCTTTGTTCGTCTAAAATGCAATGGCAGCATTGGCCGTAGTGCTCGAGATCTTGGAGTATGTAGAAAGATAGACTTGGGGTTGTGTGGTTTGTGTCTATGTTAGCCTTGCCAATCGTGGGCTTGAGAAATAATTGGCGCTGGATTTTCCGACCCACGCCTGCAAAAAAAGTTGGCTGAGAATGGAACTGGAGCTTCCGTTGAGCCGTGGGCGGACCAATTATTTGGTCACCATCCAAACGAACACCGGGGGCTGGGTAACATCCAATATTTTGGCAGGTATCTCAGGGCAACGAATAGCAAGTTGATACGTACGTGAGATCTATAGGATTTAATTGCCTAACAAACTTGTAACAACCTTGCATACATACATGTTCAATGTAAAGGAGAAGCTGCCGGTAGCCTAGTTGCACGGAGCAACACCAAACCAATTTGACCGGGATCCAGCTTACAGTGTAACTTCTGTGTTTAACGCGTGCTTCTTTTCTTCCCCGCAAGCTGCAGAACGCCAGGACAAAAGAAACGACAAAACGAATCATACACCAGTACTGTACAAACCTCTCGTGTTTCCTGGTTCCGATCGCAGCGAGTGAGACAGTGTCACTTCACCTGCCATCTCGTCCTCACCTTTTCCTTTCATCTTTTTGCGGGAAGATCTTGCCCTCACCTAACATGTAGTGAAGCGCCAACCACAGGCGGAAATTGCTAGGCGTGGACGAGCTCGCGGCTGCTTCAGTAAAACGCCACAAAGATCTTTGCGATCCCCCTGGATCGAGGAATCCGTGAATGGGTCCGGGTGATCATGCAGGGGTCCGTTCCGCCGACGGCCGGCTGGAGGCCCTGCTCTCCGGCGGCGGTGGGGCACGGCGCATGGCGTCGGCCGCGGCGCTGGAGCTGCGGCTGCTTGCTCCGCTGGCCGCGCCGGCGGTGGTGGTGTACATGCTGATCATCGTGATGTCGTCGGCCACCCAGATCTTCTGCGGCCAGCTCGGCAACGTGCAGCTCGCCGCCGCCTCCCTCGGCAACAACGGCATCCAGGTGTTCGCCTACGGCCTCATGGTACGTAGTACCTCCACTCCACTCCACCGTATGTACTTACAGTCATTTCTACGCATCCGTAGCGACGTACGCGGGCGCGTGTCTAAAGTAAACTACGTGCACGACTGCCATGCCGCGTGCTGCAGCTCGGGATGGGGAGCGCGGTGGAGACGCTGTGCGGGCAGGCGTACGGCGCCGAGAAGTACGAGATGCTGGGCGTGTACCTGCAGCGCTCGACGGTGCTCCTCATGGCCACCGGCGTGCCGCTGGCCGCCATGTACGCCTTCTCGGAGCCCATCCTCCTCCTGCTCGGGCAGTCGCCGGAGATCGCCGGCGCCGCCGCGGAGTTCGCCTACGGCCTCATCCCGCAGATCTTCGCGTACGCGGCCAACTTCCCCATCCAGAAGTTCCTGCAGGCGCAGAGCATCGTGGCGCCCAGCGCCTACATCCTGACGGCCAGCATGGCGCTGCACGTGGCGATGAGCTGGGTGGCGGTGTATAGGCTGGGCCTAGGCCTACTGGGCGCGTCGCTCACGCTGAGCCTGACGTGGTGGGTCCTGGTGGCAGGGCAGTTCGCGTACATCGTGCTGAGCCCGAGGTGCCGGGAGACGTGGACCGGGTTCACGTGGGCCGCGTTCGCCGACCTGGCGGGGTTCGCCAAGCTGTCGGCCGCGTCGGCGGTGATGCTGGCGCTGGAGGTGTGGTACTTCCAGGTGCTCATCCTCCTCGCCGGCATGCTGCCCGACCCACAGATCGCACTTGATTCACTCACCGTCTGGTAGGTAACTAACTGAGAACGAACCGTTTTATCCGTCGATTCTAGTGTGTTTGGATGATCATGTGACCGACTCCATGTTTTGCAGCACCTCGATTCAGTCATGGGTGTTCATGATCTCCGTGGGCTTCAACGCAGCTGCCAGGTCGGTGCATTGCATACAACTAAACTCTGGTTATACAGTACAACTAGATCAGCATAATCGTCGGGAAGGATCTGTTTATCTGAATTTTTTCGTCTCAAGAATAGAGTTGATCAATGTTGATGTTGTTGACTGCAGCGTGAGGGTGGGGAATGAACTTGGCGCCGGGAACCCCAGGTCTGCCGCGTTCTCTGCATGGGTGGTCACCGCCATGTCCGCGCTCATAGCAGTCGTAGCCGGCGTTCTGGTCTTCCTGCTCAGGCACAAGCTCAGCTACATCTTCACCGGCGGCGAGGCCGTCTCGCGTGCCGTCGCCGATCTCTGTCCTTTGCTTGTCGGCACCATTGTGCTCTGCGGAATCCAGCCTGTGCTATCAGGTAATGCCATA